GTTCGGGGTCACCGGCCCCTCCTGGGACACAGGAGGACCTGTGCGGACCGGGGGTATTTTCCTCAAAGCGCCTTCCCTTCACCCGGACCGTGTTCCCCCAGGCTGCACGGACACGTTTCCCTGCGGGGCTGGGTGAGGGCAATAGCTGCCCTTGCACTTCAAGGAAACTCAGGAAGTCCCGAGATTTGGGGGTGACCCGAGAGGCGCGGTGCCCGCGGGGGCATCGGGAGGGAGGCGCTGAATTCTGGCGAAGGAGCTGATCTTGCCTGGCCTGCAGATGGAGGGTTCAGATCAATGCTCGAAGTAACTTGTACTGCACGGGGTGCAGGGGTGTGTGTCGGGGTACGCGGGGGACCCTAAGAAGAAGAGACCCCCGGGCAGGCACTTTCCTCCATCGCCATCAGAGTCGTCTGCGTGCAGACCTAGGCGCCAGCGCTCCATCGCAGCCGGTTCAGAGCGCCAGGGTTTGCACCAGGCGTTGGGCTTTCTCACTGAGCATCTCTTTTTGTTTCACAGACTCGGAAATTACCATAAAATCAATGCAAATATTAGCAGCTGTTTTCTTGCCCTGCTGAGCAGAACGGCTCAAAAATCGTAGCCCGCCCCTTTCCGATTTGTGGACTTGCTTCCTCCTTATCTTGAAAAGGTCATGCCTGTTCTTCAGCTGTGAATATGATTCAGAACAAGCTGCTGCTTCTTTTGGTTTGTTTGTTGTTTTTTCATTTGTGCGACCAGTTTTTAAATCAATGCCTTCTGTATGCCGGAAACTGTGCTAGGCGCTTTTTTTGGAATTATACTCTTTATTGTGGGAAATGAGCAAGGCGCTTTTCATTCTAATAGCAATGTGTGTGAAGCCAGAAGTAGCCCCGGGATCTCTTAGGGTCGAGGAGATATGTGTTCCGGTCCTTCCTGACGGGGCAGCCTTTTGAAGGCTGTGGTGTCTGGGTGCTTTGGGTGCTTTAGGGACGGATGTGTCGGGGAGGATGCGTTGGCAGGTGACTTTAATGAGGTTACGCAGCACAGCGAGTGCAGCTGGTGGGTGTACCCAGAACCTGTTTTCTGTGCATAGTGAGGTTAGAAGTGCGTTTTTCTCCGGAAGTCCATGACCATTTGTGTGGCTTGTGTGTTTTCTCTCGTGTGCACACCTTGACATGGGATGGATGCCTTGTGTCACATTTGAGTGGAGAAGTCAGGAAGTCAGTTAGCAGCTGCTCCTTTGGATCCTTGGAGAGTGTTGTTGATTTCCTCACTACCTGCTCTGAGCTGGGCACAGAGTAAGCACGTTGCACAAGACAGACACAGCCCCGCCTTCCTTGAGCTTACACCTATAACCAGGGGGTTGGGGGGGGGGCGGGGGGGGGGGGAGACAGTCATTGGTAAGTGCTTAGAGGCTTGCTCCAGGTGTGTGTCATTTGTGGAGAGGGGAAGAGGAGAGACTAGTCGGGGTCATTGGGGAAGGCTTCTTTGAAGAAAAGATGTAAGAGCCTGAATGACCAGTTGAAGCTGGTAGGTGACCAGGCCAAGGCCGAGGTGCCGATGGAGGCTGTAAGGAAGGACTTGCTCTGGTGCAGGGAATGTCAGCGTGAAGGCCTTAAAGCTGGGTAGAGACCTGTGCGTTTGAGGAAACCTGACCTGCATGGCTGGAGAGGGGAGAAGAGGGAGGCTCCAACAAGGGGTGGGGGAGGCCTGATGATGCAGGGCCTCATGCGCTGGTTTAGACCTGGGGCATGATTGTGTGTGTGTGTGTGTGTGTGTGTGTGTGTGTAAGTAAAGAGAGAGAGAGAGAGAGAGAGAGAGAGAGAGAGAGAAGATTGTTTAAAAGCTTAAAGCTTACCTTGGCTCCATTTTTTTGTATTTTGTCAGATAATGTAGTTATTTTGTGAGCTTCTCTTGCCTCCTAAATTAATAGGCATCAGTTAATAAAAGTTGAAAACATCATGCCTTGAGAATAACTTCCAAACTGCTTGCATGAGTATACCACTAAAATACAGAAAGGAAGAAAAGCCTCTTTTCCCTAATGTACCACCCATCCTCAGGTACCCTGTGCTCCTTCGGAGGAAAGGGCGGGAGAGGAAACTGCAACAGGTATTTTCTTCAGCAGTCCTGAGCCGTCCTGCCCTGTGAGCACCGGAACATCGGATGTTCTGGGATTTAGTG